CACCTACCATTTCTACAATTAAATGCGATTAAAATGTTCACTGTACAGTAAAAACTAGTTTTTCCCTTACTTCCGGCTATTTGCTTCGAGCTCCAGATAAGTCGAACTCCCGATAACTTGAACTTTTTTCGGTTTCCCTTAAAGGTTCGAGTCATCGGGAGTAGACTGTATATCGAAAAGCCCTTTAATCGACCGCCTCTGGTCTTTTTCTTTGATGTTAAGTTCTCATATGCGACTACTTGTTCAACACTTGACTATAATTAAGCATGTGATCAAACTTAGGGTAATACATAACATAATCCGGCTCTAATATCCCATTAAATTTGAATAAGATAATGTAATTAAAAAAGGATGAATGGGTAATTAATAACATATACCAACTAGTAAGGGACCGTCCCTAATAGCCTTATCACATGGTTGCTTTGATAACAGATTCCAATTTGATTTTAGTAAATGAATCCAGCCCCAGGAGTGCGAGGACTTTTACGAATTACAAAGGCGATCGCTTACGAGAGCTTCGTCTGTAATTGAGATGGGCAAAACAACTGCACAACCCACGGGATTAGTTAAAACTTGGAGAGACAGTCATGGGATCGGTTTTACAAATTGGGTCACACTTGACAAATTTTTGCCGCAAAACACCTGCTTGAATCGTAGATACTTTTGACATCTCAGAAGGCCAACCATATCCCATTTTGTTCTGCGCCATTACTCTTACATGGTACTCGCTATTTGGCTTAAGATGGGTAAATAGACATGACTGAGTTAACCGAGAAACGTTTTTTGTTGTCCATGGTTCCTCGGAACTGGCCGCTTTTATCTGTGCAAGGTACCCTGTCACCATTCCTCCTTCGGCGTCACGTGATAGTGGACTCCAAGTTAAGTTTATAGAGCTACAGCCTCGTTTTAAATCCAAAAGCGTAACGGGATATGGAACATCTATTAAAAGTGAAAGCAGTTTTAGTATAAATAAACAAAAATAATAAAAAAGATTTATACGGTGAGAGAAATTCTGAAAGCATTAAAATCTTTAACCAATTCGACTGAGATTTCCTGCTAACAGTTTTACCAACCGTTGTTTTTGGCTTCTAAAAAGTCTTAATGAGGCTATGGTGCTTTAATTGGCAGTGCCCCAACCTCAGAAAGCTTTTTTCCTGTTATCATCATGATTCACTCTTAGCAAGAAATTTTTCCTCATGAGATATTCATGCCTTACTTGCTTACTTGGACCCATGCTATGTGTTTTATTACACAGGGTAAGGTTTTTTTTGTAGTATTATTGGCCGATATGAATTTGAAGTGAATCGTTTTGTAAGGAACTGGGCGTCGCAATCTTTTATTCAAACGAATAATATTCTTTCCAAAATACTCTAATAAGTTAAAAATCCATGTGGGATAAGAGTTTGATTGCATGTCAGAAAAATAACGTATTCTAAAATAAATATTTCAATTTCGAAGCAGGTAAGCTCGTCGATCTTTGAAAACATGGCGGCTCAAACACACAAGTCCAAGAAGCAACACAATGTGGCTCTCTATATTTATTTAATTATTTAACCAAAGAAAGTGTGTTTACATTGTGCTGTTCTCACTTCCCATGCTGTGCTTCCTTTACTGCGTCCCAAGTTATTCCAAGCAAAGACAATTACTTCATACTTCTTGCTGTGTTGGAATTCAAGCTTTAAACTTGTTAAACTGGCGTTGGTGGTATTTATTATTTTCGTTATTTTCTCGGTGGCTGGTTGAACTACTTTGTAGCGCAATGAATACATGGTGATGTTGCAGTAGATGTCGTTTGGGCGTGTCCACTGCACTGTTACAATGGGTTTCATCCCAGGGATTTCTGTTTCATTGTTTATTATTTCGGAAACATCAGGCGGTCCTATAATAAACTAATGAATTAATTATCTCCATCAAACAAAACGATGTTTATCAGTGAAGAAAAATCAATTAACTGGGGTTAAAGGTAAAGCAGAGGGGTAACCATATAAATGAAAACTCTCAAAGGTTAACATGACACAATCAGAAAATGAATGCTAATATTGTGAAAAGAAAGGAGGACGAATGAAGAAATAATAACGACAATCTTTTCGTTTGGTTGTCACGTGACTGACCGAGCGTACGTACGTACGTACGTACGCGTCTACAGATTGTATGGGTAGGGTAGGGGGGAATATCAAAAGGAAGGGAGGGGTGTCTCAGGTATGTCTTGGCAAACCCATGTCTTTTATATTGGCCATTCACAACATGGTCAATTGACAGCTGTCAAAACAGGATAGCCACTGACCAGTATCACATTGCCATATCGAGGGCTCATGTGTCAACTCATCAAGGTGACGTGATTTATTTGGAAGCTGTCCGCTGACCAGTTGTTTTACTAGATCGCAATCAATTTTCAATCTCATACTTTCTAGCTAATTTAAGAGCACAGGAAAACTGATAATGCACACATCCATTGGACATCAATGTTGTGATCAATTGACAGCTGTCAAAACAGGGTATCCGCTGACCAGTATCACTTGACCGTATCGCGGGCTCAGGTGTTGACCCATCGAGGTCGAGTACTTTTTTGAAGTTATCCGCTGACAAGTTACTAGTTTTCAAATGATCGCAGGCTCAAGTTTTATTGTTTTTAATTCGTATGAAATATATTTTGTTTTTGTGCCGCACAATTAAAATTTTGATTTAAAACTGACCTCGGACGCGAAAATTCAGCCAGCTATTACAGGCAGGGAAGGCAGTTGCTTTTGACTTTCGTCACCATGGTCACGCGTTGGTCACGCTCTACGTGCAATTTTTATGCTCTGATTGGTCAAAATTTGACAGGGGAGCTCATGAGAAAAATTTATGCAGCATCTTGAATCTTGATTACTTTGACAGCTGAGGCTGACAGAGTTTTGTGTCCACTTGTGATGTTTTTAACTGTCTTTTTCCACTGGACGCACAAAATGAAATTCAGCTGTTATCAGGAGTCTTCTGTTATTCATGGCTAGTTAGTTTTTGGTTGAGAAATTAATACATTACTTGTCAAAGTCGGAAATCCGATTTCGAATGGCATCGATTTCGCTTTTCACCTTGCTTGATGCGTAAGGGTTGAAAAGTCTGAGGCGATACTAGCCTTCCTTGATACCTTTCAGGAGCTGCATCTCGAATGGTAAGCCTCAGTAATTATTGTGTTTGATGTTTGTTTTTTATATCTAATTTAATGAAGTCGAGCGCAGTTTATGCGGCTATGTAGTCTATGCACTTTTGTAAGATTTGAGACAACTTGATATGACCAAGAATCAGGTTTGATATAACCTTACAGAACTTTAAAAAGCCTTTAGACATTTTCTTACCGCAAATAGAAAGAAAACGTTCTGAAGAACATTCAGTTATAATTCTGGCTGTAAAAGAAAGCTTTGAGCGATTTTCTTGCCTCGAGTTCATCTTTGAAAAAAGTAAATTCCGGGAAGCCGGCTTAGAACATAAACCTAAGCTTTAAGCTTGAAGACTCAGGATTTTTAGAGACACTTTAATACTTGTCTTCGTGAATGAAAAACGTTGTCTCTGTATATGTTTCACCGAATTATATTTCTTTTATTGATTGTTGGTAGTCTCTCTTGTAATTTTAATCGCCGTGCCGTTTGTTTTCAGTCGTTCAGTGAACATCGCTTGCAGGAGTACTCAAAATGCCGCGCTTATCAAACCGGCGCTTTTAAAGATTACACATGGATAAAACCATTTAATAAAACTGAATAAACATAATAATTTCTTTATTATGTTGCAGCTTAACTCTAGTATATTCGTTCAAACACTCGCTACAGCTCGAACAGTGAGAACTGGCTGGCCGTATATGTGATTTTGGAAATTTTTTTAACGGTTTAAAAAGCCCACGCGTGCTTCGATCGTCCTGAATGTTGAATGAGTGCAATTTGTGTTGCAAACTTGTGAAATACTGCATTCTGTCCGAGGCCTGTATGATAAAAACAGTACCTCATGGTACTGTTTCACCTCAGATGTGATGTATAAATTGTATAAAAGGTTGGTTTACACGCACTCGGTTTTTTGACAAGATTTTGTAAAGTAAACTTGTCGAACACAAAAAAATTCGGCCTGATTTTTTTTCCAGGCATAATTAATCTTACGGTGATCAAGAGCCATTATGGCTCCTAAATGTTATCGAAGATGATTGCTATTTTTGGGTGTACATATGAGGATATCAATTCGATGTAAGATTTGGCTCACTCTTGGACTGTTTGCAAATTATTTTTCTCTAAAATCACTAGGCCTTTCCCTCAAAAGTCACATGAATGTGCTATGTACTCTAAAGTTAACTGAATTGTGGAATACAAGTTTATTGTTTGATTTAAATTATAAATATATTAATGGGAGCCTCGCTTTTAGCCCTGGCTAAATCTATATATTAGTCGAATATAGGTAGGATGTAACTGTTAAAAAACATAAGCCTATCCTCCAGTGGTAAACAATATTTTATACGTCTAAGAAGTTCCAATTTCTTATTTGTCTTATTACTGATATAATCAATATGATCTTGCCAACTTATTAGATGGTTATTGATAACCACACCCAAGTAAGAAAAGGAGCTAACTTCTTCAATACTCTTATCATCAGTGGTAATTGAGATTGAATTCAATTTTTTCAAGCGCTGGCTGCTACCTATATTAAAAAAAAAACTTGTTTTTATTAATATTCAGGGTAAGCTGATTAGACATGAGCCACTTACTAACTTTATCTAGGTAGGTTAGGAAGGAATGACTGCATGAATTGATAAACATAGAGATAAATCTTGAAGGGAGATGTAAAAGAAGCTATAATAAGTACCACAAACTAATACTATGTGTAATACAACAGTATTAAGATATAATACTTACCAATTAAATCCGTTGTTTCTGAAGTGTCTGCCCATTGGCCTGGCCCCTTCTTATTGAAAGCTCGGACTCGAATGTGATACTCTGTCTCACTGCTCAGGTCCGTGAACAAACAGCTATGATTTGAGACGAAGGCCGTGCAGTTGCGCCAGCCACCACTTCCCCCTCCTAACGCACTTATCTGGACCTGATATCCAGTTAGAGGACCGCCACCAGAGTCTAGGGATGGTGGATTCCAAGTGACTTCAAATACTCCACACTGTCTTTGTTTGACTCTAGGCGGTTCCCGCTGAAGTGGAACGCCTATAATAAAATTAGTGTGTGCTATTTAGGCTGCCGATAAGGACAGAGCACAACATTTCGAGTGCGAAATCTCACTTACAACCCCTTCAGGATGTCTAAAAAATTGAGTTTCTAAATCAATCCTAACCTGCGATCAGGCGGTCCTTTTTCCGTTTTGTTTGGGAGACGAGGGGAAAAGGACGCCTGATAAATTACTTTACACGTCGTCTGCTCGTAGTCCAGAATCTGGACTTTTGTGTGATAGGTTGGCAAATAAAAGATCCTTCGGAGCCCTGCATCGATTGGTTACAAGCGACATATTTGACTTCTGGTGCAATTAGATAGGCTTTGTCACCTTCGCATCTTCACGACGGAAACCCCAAGATGATCGTTTAAGGCTAAAAGCTAGGTCTCAAAAAACGATAAATAAATACTTTTTTAGTGAATCAAGTCAACAATGCAGAGAGAAAAATCTTGACAGCCCATGAGGACGAGTTGTTATTTGTCACGGGTAAGGATATCCGCTATTTCTTTTTCGACGGGGCGGGGGGTACTTCCTAGAAGTAATTGGTTAATGGGAATGTGCCGCTGGATGGGGTCGCATTTTCACGACTAGATTTACTATAATGGGGTTACATTTTTATTGGAGTTACTAGAATGGGATCGCACATTTTCGGGATTTGGTGGATCAGAAATTCCAGGTAGGTAGGAATTTAAAAATGGGAGGATTTTTGCTTCATTACTTTTAACCAGTGTGTCACTCTTTTCAGGATGACCTAGTTAAAAGGTTTTATAAGGTATTATTATTATTAAGTGTAAACTGACCTCAGTGTACCTTATTACATGAAATGTTTGCGACACAAAAAAAAAATCGAGAAATTAAAGTGACGCGAACAACAAGTGTCGCGAACATAACATGACGCGAAAATTAAGTGAATTTAGTGACACATTATATCAATAATCAAGAAAGAACGAGTTTATTACGACTGAAACGATTACAAAATCACATTTTTTTACTGTTCATTTTTCCTCCGTGCAAAGTCTGTAGCAGGGAATTTTTAGTGTAAATGGATCTTGTGGTCAAGATGAACTGCTTGTGGACGTTGTGAGAACTGCTTTGTTGTTTAATACTGTTGACATTTAGTCCTGCTGTTCCGTTTTCTTAATTTTGACGTTATTGCTTCTTTGATAAAGTCGATCTATTTTATTCAAGGACATGTTAAATAACATTGCCAATGAAATGTGAATTGTGGTGCTCCAAAACGCGAAATTAACGTGATTCAAAATATAAAATTTTCCTCGCAAAATCGCGTAATAAGCGCACATCAAAATCGCGAAATAAACATGTCGCGAAAATTACATGTAATAAGGTACATTGAAACTAAATAGCCCGGCCCAGGTAAATTAAGGAAATACTCTAAACTCTGAGTCTGAATTTCAGACATTACTTCGAGTCGTCTTTACTCCCTCAGTAACGTCTGAATCGACGGGTCGTTAATGCCGTCCAGTGACGTCATTACCCTTTGCCTTAATTCATGCAAAAAGTAAAACACGATTTTCAACTGGCAAACAAAGAAGAGTCAAAGAAATACCGTCAGGTAAAGGCAAACATGGTACAGAATTGCTTTACTATTAAATCGTAATTTATGTTGAACGTTCAAACTGTCAACTGCATGCAGTACTCTGAACGAATCTAGATCTGTCGCAAGTTAGTAATCTAGCACGATCGCGGTCACGCGATGAAATAAATATACACACGGGACAATTCAAAAACACACCAATTTGCTTAGAAGAAAAGAAGCTATTTGTTGTTCCTTAATGAAGATGAAAGAAAACANATAACCACACCCAAGTAAGAAAAGGAGCTAACTTCTTCAATACTCTTATCATCAGTGGTAATTGAGATTGAATTCAATTTTTTCAAGCGCTGGCTGCTACCTATATTAAAAAAAAAACTTGTTTTTATTAATATTCAGGGTAAGCTGATTAGACATGAGCCACTTACTAACTTTATCTAGGTAGGTTAGGAAGGAATGACTGCATGAATTGATAAACATAGAGATAAATCTTGAAGGGAGATGTAAAAGAAGCTATAATAAGTATATAAGGACCACAAACTAAAACTATGTGTAATACAACAGTATTAAGATGTAAATACTTACCAATTAAATCCGTTGTTTCTAAAGTGTCTGCCCATTGGCCTGGCCCCTTCTTATTGAAAGCTCGGACTCGAATGAGATACTCTGTCTCACTGCTCAGGTCTGTGAACAAGCAGCTATGATTTGAAACGAAGGCTGTGCAGTTGCGCCAGCCACCACTTCTATCTCTTGACGTACTTAACTGGACTTGATAGCCAGTTAGAGGACCTCCACCAGAGTCTAGGGATGGTGGCTTCCAAGTGACTTCAAATACTCCACACTGTCTTTGTTTGACTCCAGGCGGATCCTGCTGAAGGGGAACGCCTATAATAAAATTAGTGTGTGGTATTTAGGCTGCCGATAAGGACAGAGCACAACACTATGTTTCGAGTGCGAAATCTCACTTACAACCCCTTCAGGAGGTCTACAAAATTGAGTTTCTAAGTCAATCTTAACCTGCGATCAGGCGGTCCTTTTTTCCGTTTTGTTTGGGAGACGAGGGGAAAAGGACGCCTGATAAATTACTTTACACGTCGTCTGCTCGTAGTCCAGAATCTGGACTTTCGTCTGATAGGTTCACAAATAAAAGATCCTTCGGAGCCCTGAATCGATTGGTTACAAGCGACATATTTGACTTCTGGTGCAATAAGATAGGTTTTTTCACCTTCGCATCTTCACGACAGAAACCCCAAGATGATCGCTTAAGGCTAAAAGCTAGGTCTCAAAAAATGATAAATAAATACTTTTTTAGTAAATCAAGTCAAAAATGCAGAGAGAAAAATCTTGACAGCCCATGAGGACGAGTTGTTATTTGTCATCGGTAAGGATATCCGCTATTTCTTCTTCGACGGGGCGGGGGGTTAATGGGAATGTGCCGCTGGATGGGGTCGCATTTTCACGGCTAGATTTACTATAATGGGGTTACATTTTCATTGGAGTTACTAGAATGGGATCGCACATTTTCGGGATTTGGTGGATCAGAAATTTCAGGTAGGTAGGGATTTAAAAAATGGGAGGATTTTTACTTCATTTCGTTTAACCAATGTCATTCATTTCAGGATGACCAAGTTAAAAGGTTTTATAAGGTAGATGCCTAAACATAAAGTTAATAAGTTGGGATCGCGAAAATTACATTTTCCCAAAAGTGACTAAGATAAGGTCTATATTTGGCCACAAAATAGACTATAATGGGGTAGGGGTTCTGAGAGGCAAGCGGCACACACCCAGCAAAAATTAACCTAAGTGGCCCCCCCGGGCTTCTTCGATGCTTTCTTGCTCGAACCAGGTAGAATTTACTCCAAAAAGCATTGACTTTGATTTCCGATCGAGTTTAAGGTGGCTCGACTGGATTTTTTTGGGGGGATACCTCCCAAGTTTGAGCATTAACTACGTCGCCAAGAGTAAAGGCATGGAAAAAAGATTACCACAACTGTATTATATAAAGACGAAAATTTCTTATGATCTGGGTTTTATTGCAATGGGAGTCGCCATAGCAACCTAACGACGCCATTACGTTTTTTATTTATCTTTGTGTTTCTCTGTACCAAGAGCTTTTTTAAGAAATCGCTTAAGGGAGTTTGTACCTGCCATAATTGTCTCAATTATATCAAAGTTTGAACAAATTCTATGAGAGCGTTTTTGAGATATTTTGAAACGAAGTTTTAAGCATCATAAAAACAGTGAAATAGCATGCTATCCACACAATTAGCTAAAATTTTTAAGAACATGATAAGCTTGGGAAACGCGGCTTCATCTCATAGTAGTTTGATTCCACTGAAAACTGCGTACAAAAAAAAGAGGAGAATTGCTCCGAGCGATCGCGAGTAAGAAGAATTTTAGTAACTTGCATTCAGCTGCTTTTGTTACTGTTTTTGCACGTAATTTGGTCTATGCCTACAAATTTCGCATTTTTCAAAAAACCGCTCCATAAATTTTTTTTATAAATTTGACAATCCCGAGATCCAATAAATATACCCTGCAAGTTTCAAGAACATTGAAAACAGAAAAGGCTTTTAAATAGGGCCTAAAATATAACCAATTTCCCCCAAGATTTTGTGTTTACAAGTGAGCGTCCTCGTTATTTACTGGCATTGTTTCCAAGTTTCATATGCACGTGCACATTTAGCAAAAAGATAGAATTTGCATCAAAAAGGACCCTCGGTTAAATCTCCCGAATATGCTAATAACCTGGTAAAGAAATTAGTGATATATTATAACATCACATCAACTCTTTGTGAGAGTTTCTGTGATGTTGTAACCTGAGTAAGATAACTAAGTATTGCATTCTACACGGTAAGCCGTGACGTTCACCTTCTCGGCTCTCACTGCTATCTGTGACACAAGCCAATTATTAGCATATTCCGGATATTTCTTCCGAAGGTAATCGAGAGCTCTTTTTGATGCAAATTTATTTCTTTTTGCTAAATGTGCACGTGCATATGAAACTTGGAAACAATGCCAGTGAATAATGAGAACGCTCACTTGTAAACACAAAACCTGGGGGAAAAATTGTTTATATTTGAGGCCCTATTTAAAAGCCTTCTCTGTTTTTAATGTTCTTGAAACTTGCAGGGTATATTTATTGGCAATTGATCTCGGGATTGTCAAATTTATAAAAAAAATTATAGAGCGGTTTTTTTAGAAATGCGAAATTTGTAGGCATGGACCAAATTACGTGCAGAAACTGTAACAAAAGCAGAGGAATGCAAGTTAATAAAATTCTTCTTACTCGCGATCGCCCAGAGCAATTCTCCTCTTTTCTTGTACGCAGTTTTCAATGGTATCAAACCACTATAAGATGAAGCCGCGTTTCCAAAGCTTATCATTTTCTTAAAAAATTAGCTTATTGTGTGGATAGCATGCTATTTCACTGTTTTTATGATGCTTAAAACTTCGTTTCAAAATATTTCGAAAACGCTCTCATAGAATTTGTTCAAACTTTGATATAATTGAGGCAATTACGGCAGGTACAAACTCCCTTAAGCGATTTCTTAAAAAAACTCTTGGTACAGAGAAACACAAAGATAAATAAAAGACGTAATGGCTTCGTTACGTTGCTATGGCGACTCCGATTGCAGTAAAACCCAGATCATAAGAAATTTTCATCTTTACATAATACAGTTGTGGTA